GATTTGATTTATTTTATTCCCAAATTTTTCATATTGCATGAAAAAGCAAAGGGGAATTTTATTATTTTTTATGATCACTTCAGGGGCGGACTGACAACTCATGGGGCCCCCCGGGCAATAGGGGATCATGGCGCCTCTGTGTCCTTGCCCAAACTCAAAAAAGCCTATGAAAAAGGTGCATCTCATGGGGCCTTCTACTGATCCCGGGCCCTCCGGCAGTGCCCGAGTTTCCAAATGGTCAGTCTGCCCCTGGGTCACTACTTGTTTGGGAGGGCTGCTACACCGGATAATAGAATGGGAAGCCCATACAGTCTGCTAATGATTTTTCTTTTGCACATAGGTGCGTAGGATCCTTTGTGTTTATGTGTGTTTAATGATTGGTAACATATAACTGTGCGCTGAACTTGCTTATTTTATTAATGTGGGAGGAGCCACATTGCTGACGTCACGCCGTCATCTCCTGGGCAAGGAGCGGCGGCCATTTTGGTACCTGATATATTTTTATCTTCCACGAGGATTACTTTGACTTGTGTATACCCATCTTTTAACAATAAATACTACACTATATGAGTACCTCCTGTGGTTGAGCAATCATTCCCCAGAATTAAAGAGACACGCACCACCGGTACTGTGAGGATGCTGGATTAACCCTTAAGCTGTCCTAATACCCCCCCTGCGCCCAGATGGGACAGATTGTTACCAATGCCTGTATACATCTAGGTTCTGGTGAGTGCGCACACCCATCAGAAGTGGTGAATTTTTTTTTAAAGACACAGGCACTACTGCACCTTGGTCACAAGATTATATCTTCCTTTGAATTATCGTTATTAATTTATTCTGGTTTCAATAGATAAATAAATATGGACAATCATTGATTTATTTCACTTATTGCACAAATAGCACTTTATATACTGTGCACTGATTACTTTATTATTTGAATACGTTGTCATATTTATATCTATCACAGAGCTGTACTTGTAGAAATTTTAAACGTCAATTGGGACTGTTGCCTATGCCCTTCAGTGGTAGCAGCTACCTAAAATTATTGTTCTAATATTTATTGTTTTATATATGCGCTCGCTAGTATGTTTCTTTGACTTCTTAACATATAGTTATGCAATACTTGTAAAAAATGCAAAAAAAAAAAAAGGAAAAAAGGTGTTGACTGATGACTTTATTATTTGAATACTTTGTCATATTTATATCTATCACAGAGCTGTACTTGTAGAAATTTTAAACGTCAATTGGAACTGTTGCCTATGCCCTTCAGTGCTAGCAGCTACCCTGGAATTATTGTTCTATATTTATTGTTTTATATATGCGCTCGCTAGTATATTTCTTTGACTTCTTAACATATAGTTATGCAATACTTGTAAAAAATACAAAAAAAAGGAAAAAAGGCGTGCAATCTCTACAATTTAAGTTATTTTAGTTTCAAGTATACAACTGATTCCTAACCAATGCGAGATCCAGTAAAGTGAACCTATGACAAAGTTAGTTAACAGCATGACATATAGTAAGATGATTTCAGGTTGTACAACAAGATGTCATAAATAATTGCATATACAGATATCTAAAAAAAAAAAAAAAGAAAAGAAAAGAAAAAGAAAGGACACCTCTCCAGTAAGTACTTCAACGAGCCATGGGACAAAATCAAAATGAGTCAGGATCGTAGATGCTGTTCATGTTTCACATGACTGCCATATGCCTTTAAGTGTTCTCTGTATTTTGTCTCTCTGCTCCTCCCTTTCCTTTGGTTTAGTTAATGCTGTATAGAAGGCCCACCCCTTTTCCCAGTAAAAGCATTACAGTTTCTAGCCTCATGTCATGGAGCAGGTCACATTATAATCTTTTGACCTATCCGATGTTCATTGTTGTAAGATTCTTGCAGTTTATGGAATCTACAAGATGTCTTCTGGATTGAGTCACTGCCTGTGATATTCAACTAAGATTGGAGTTATCGCTATCTCACCACAACTGTAAGTTACAGAGATCACACTTTCAATGCTTAGATTGGAGAGACAGAACAGATGCGTTACGTGTATCTGCCTAATCTGTTGGTAGAAGTTTATGACTATGTTGAGCTGGTGAAACAGTACAAAGAAGCATCAAATGTGGAGAAAGTTGTTTGTTATACGAGAAAGCTGAAAAAAAAACAATAATATTCCAGCTAAAAGTTGTTGTTTTTTAAACCCATAAAAAAATATAATAATAATATGCATTTTCTTAAATCAACTAAAAATGGAATGCAACACTGACTAAATGATGCAAGAAAACAATTTTATTGCCTGGGTTTTAATACTTTTTCAAGTATTGTGATAGTTGGGGGAAGTCAGTAGCATGGGACACAGGGCCTTAGCAGGTATGTCTGTCACAAGTAAGTGTGTTTCTTGTGCAATAAATGTGTTTTTTTTAACTTTCTACACTATAAATAGGCATATCTTTTATTCCCATATGAATATATATAGCATGCATGCTGTGTGATCGGGATCATCTGAGGAATGGCTTGAGTTATTATTTTTATTATACAGTATTTATATAGCGTCAATAGTTTTGCTCAGCGCTGTACATTATAATGGGAGACAGTACACGAGATACGCGAGGGGTTCGAGGGCCCTGCTCCTTGGAGCTTACAATCTAGAAGGGAGGGGATAGTGGTAACAGGAGGAAATAGCTGTGGGATGGAGTGGTAGGAAGAGTGAGGAGTTCAGTAATTAGCTGAGGGCGGGGTAGGCTTCCCTGAAGAGATGGGTTTTCAGAGTGCGCCTAAATGGTGAGGAGAGTAGGTGATAGTCTGATGGATTGGGGTAGGGAGTTCCAGAGGATGTGGGAAGCCCTGGAGAATTCCTTGGAGATGGGCATGGGAGGAGGAGACCAGAGAACTAGAGAGTAGGAGGTTTTGCGATGAGCGGAGAGTACGTTTTGGGTGGTATTTGGATACCAGATCGGTGATGTAGTTTGGGACAGTATTATGAACAGCTTTATATGTCAATGTTAGCATTTTGAATTTTATCCGTTGGGCAATCGGGAGCCAGTGGAGGGATTGGCAGAGGGGGGGGGGGGCGGATACGGAGCGGTTAGTAAGGTGGATGAGTCTGGCCGCAGTATTCAAGATAGACTGAAGCGGGGATAGCCTGTGGTGAGGTAAGCCAATGAGGAGGGGGGAGTTACAGTAGTCAAGTCGTGATATAATAAGGGAGTGGATGAGTTGCTTAGTGGTTTCCGAGGTTAGAACGGACGTATTTTGGAGATGTTGCGGAGGTGAAGCTTCATGAGTTTGTCAGCGATTGGACCTGGGCTGGAAGGACAGATTGGAGTCAAGGATGACACCTAGTACTCTGGCTTGAGTGGTGGGACTGATGGTGGTGTTGTTGGTTTTGATGGAGAAGTCGGGGGGCGGGGGAGCGCACGGGCTGGGGGAAAACTAGGAGCTCAGTTTTGGAAGATTTAGTTTGAGGAAGTGGAGTGACATCCAATCCGATATGTCGCTCAGTAGGCTTGTTAATGTTAATGTACAGTTAATGCGGTTTGGCTTGACACATATGATTTCTGCTACAAGGGGTCAGTAAATCTGGTAAGCATCCATCCTGTGTCCACTGTGGTGTTGGGTGACACTGGTGATTGTTGAAGACTAAGGCTAGGTTCACACCTATGCAGTTTGTGTTTGATCCGTTTCTGCATTGCATTTTGCGTTGTGTTTTGCATTTTTGCTGCGTTTTTAATGCGCTTTGCATTTTTTTTTTTTTCTGTTGCTAGACAGATTTAAAACGCATAAACACACTCCATGCTTTTCTGCAGCATTTCCATTGCAGTCTATAGAACCAAAAACGCCAACTTTTTGCGTTCAAAAAAGTCCCTGACCCTTTCAAATAAAATGCAGCAGGTGAAAATGCTGAGATGTGAACGTGTCCCATGTCCCAAAAATGGACTGTGGTGCGTTTATGAAAAACGCAAAACGCTACAGAAAACGTTTAGGTGTGAACCTAGGGTTAGGGAAGATCTTGGACTGTTCACTTTAAAGGGACTGTTTCATATACCTTAACCCCCCTGGCAGTATTCCCGAGTGTAGCTCAGGGTTAACTTTCAGTACCCCCAAGCTACACTCGGGAATGCACTGCAGCGCTTCTCCAGCGATCCCTCCAGCACTTACCTTGTCCTGCGCTCCCGTGATGTCCCCCCTGCAGCGTCCCCGATGCTGGCATCCGTCTTCCTGATTCTATTCCTGCAAGAGTCAGGATGTATGGGGGACAGAACTGGCGGGAAATTAAAAAATGTAAAAATTTGACATTCACTCAATACACTAAAATCTCATAGTATAACATTCCTGTATCAAACCATTTCACATACATTTTGTCCCGAGTGCTTTGTCCGGCGCCCTGCCTGCATTTTTACTGTTCTTTCTGCCTGGAAACTGAGAAACGTCCATGGCGTCCAAAAAGCGTTCCCTTTAGGTCAAAAGCGGTTTTAGACCGGCTAGAGAACAGCGATAGTAAATCAGAACCACTTGCAGAATTGAGTGATAATGATTTGTGGGGGAAATTCGTCATCAGACACTGAAAACGATTCTGCCACTGAGCTCAGTGATGTGTGAACTTGGCGCTCTATTTCATATTTTAGTGTTTTTGGTTTGATTATATTATTGAATTAAATTTATTATTTTATGTTATTATTTTTTATGATTATTAAATTATAATTTATGATTTCGTGTTTCAAATTTTATCATCCCCGGGATGTTTACTAGACTCTTGTTCGGACAGATTTCAGTGAGTTATTCCTAAAAATTACAGCCTACAAATAAAAAAAATACATATTTCCATGCAAAAAAAAATGTTACCGCTTTGAGCACAGAAATATGGACATATTCAGACCGCTAGAGAGGTTAAGATAAATCATATCATGCATTTGAAATGCAACTAGTCTAAATACTAATCTAAATTTAACTTGATTTCAGCTACTTTTTAATTATAGTATATGAATACAGTATATGCTGTATGTATTGTAGATATTGAAACATATACTGTTCATTCTTGGACAGGCCAGTGTCAAGACCAATGTCAGGAAAGGGCTCACCGATGGTGGTGCTGTGGCTCACCTCCTCTATGGGCTGCAGTACCGGGACAGATTTCAGTGAGTTATTCCTAAGAATTACAAGCCTACAATAAAAAACCAACATATTTCCATTGAAAACAATGTACTGCTTTGAGCACAGAAATACTGACATAATCAGACCGCTAGGGAGGTTACAGGGCACTGTTATATTTAGAAAATAATTTTGCACATATCCTCTTCTTTTTGGAAACAGTCTTCCTCACACAATTATTGAGCACTTTTTCACTTGTATGTGATTAATTTCTTATTCACTTTCATATATGGTTTATGTTTATTTATTTGTATTTATAATAAGACAGTCAAAATTTTTTGGTATTCATGCATATTTATATATATTAGCGCAACCTTTTGTTATTAATTTGTCCTCATTGTCTAAAATAAAATAATTCAAATAGTAATACACATTTCAATAAAACATCTAAAAAAAGGGAATGCTGGCTCTTCCATAGAAAGCAAAACTGATGATAACATACAAGAAAACTTTTTTTACCTGTGTTTTTACACTTTTTTATGTATTATGTGTGTAGGATCGGTGTTGAAAGATCAGTTAACCCCATATAGGTTGCAAGCTGGCGTTCCCCAAAAGATGGATTGGATCTGGGATTGGGGAGCTCCCCAATCCACAGATCCGATCCATCTTGTGGGGATCGTCAGCTTGCTTTACAATTTTCCCTTTCGTGGAGCTTGTGGAGAGGTTCCGGTGTCACCCCGTGTGATGGTGTCACCCGGCCTGCACCCCCGCACCTGCCTAGGGAATGCCATTGCTCACAGCAGCTCTGTATGGCGCTGATGATCCATTGTGTTGTTTAAATCAACATATCAATAAGACGTGTCCTGCACACTGCCTAAACCATTGAAATAAATTATTCATTTTGCTTTATTTTAAAAATACATCAGTAAGGTTCAACTGTTGCACAAAGCTGACCGCAGACATCCTCTTTATTGTTTTCTTCCTGTCACAGGAAAAGATTTCTTATTTGTGATGAAATGATTTCAACTCAATATTCTCAACATACAGATATATGAGCTGAGAGCGCACAGTGAGCAGCATGTGGCCGCTGAAGCCCACCCTTTTGTTGCCACTCATATGTGTTGGGTGGTCATAAAGGGGTTAGACCCTCCAAATACAATACTGTAGCTAAAGCTATAATCAGTGCTGTGATAAAAAGTATGTTCCCCCTTCTGTGCTCTACCAGAAAATCCTGAAGGAGAATGCCGTCAGTTTGTGGCCACAAGCACACTTGGGTTATGCAGCAGGACAACGATCCGAACAGGAGCGGACTGACCATTTGGAAACTCGTGAGCTGCCCGAGGGCCCGGGGTCAGTAGGGGGCCCCATAAGATGCCCCTGGTACCTTTTTCATAGGCTTTTTTGAGTTTGGGCAAGGACACAGGGGCCCCATGATCCCCTATTGTCCGGGGGCCCCATGAGTTGTCAGTCCGCCCCTGTACGGTACATATATACATGAATATTGTGTTTATTGATGTGATTGTGCCAATTCTAGAAGGTTTGTGTATTCACTGCAATAAACTGCTATTTTCCAAGGTAATTTGCAATCTATTTGCAGAGTTTTACCTGTCTTATTAATATCTAAAAATAAAATACAATGAGGCTCTCAGGGTCTATCTCCAAGAACGCCATAATATATGATTTTTTATAGTACTGGAACAAAACAAAAAAACTAACAAACCCAACCAGTATAGATCTTGTCTTGGAGCAACAGTAAACCTGTCAAAAAGGATAAAAACAAACACATATTACATTAGAACATAACACTGTACAGTATAGCAGTCATGAATATTACAAACCCCCCACTCTGCACTACAATCACAAATCAAAAAATCTAAGATTTAAGTATTTCAAGGGTAAGTTCACCTTTGGGAACATGTTATAAGTTCTACCCATTTTCTGGTTAGAACATGTAAAGTGTTCCCACTACTGCAGCCGCTGCCCAATTCCCCCCCCCCCCTCACCCGTGACAGCAGTATAGGGAGAAGTTTGAGGCAGAGGTGGACTGACAACTCATGGGGCCCCCGGGCAATACGGGATCATGGGGCCCCTGTGTCCTTGCCCACACTCAAAGCACACCCAAAAAAACCCTATAAAAAAGGTACCAGGGGCATTTCATGGGGCCCCCTAATGACCCTGGGCCCTCGGGCAGTGCCCAAGTGATCGAATGGTCAGTCCGCCCCTGGTTTGGAGTTGTGAATGAATGAACTACAAGTCCCAACAGCCTTTGCGGCTGTCGGCTTGCAGTTCTCAATGAACTGCCACGGCACTGTTGAGTGCTATGGCAGGTCATTGAGTCTTCCTATCAGACTGTATCTGCTTGCCCATACAGGAACACAGATACACTGACAGCTTTGCAGGAGACCTGCATAGCACCAGCAATCTGCTGATCGCTGCTGCAATGCTTTCCAGACTCCAAAAAAAAAAATATAGTAAATGTACATTTTTACCTGCAAAATTTTGTGAGTGAATCCTTTAACCACTTGTCTATCGGGCACTTTCATCCCCTTCCTGCCCAGGCCAATTTTCAACTTTCAGCGCTTTCAGATAGAACTTTCTTTTGGTGGTATTTAATCACCTCGGGGTTTTTTATTTTTTGCTAAACAAACCAAAAACAACTGAAAATTTTGAAAAAAACTTTATTTCTTAGTTTCTGTTATAAAGTTTTGTAAATAAGTGATTTTTCTCCTTCACTGATGTGCACTAATGAGGCTGCACTGATCGGCATTGATAGGCTGCACTAATTGGTACTGATGGGCACTGATGAGGAGGCACTGGTAGGTGGCACTGATGGGCATTGACATGCATCACTGGTGGGCACTGAAAGGCAGCACTCATATATGGCACTGATAGGTGGCACTGATAGGCGACATTGACTGGCACTGATAGGCAGCACTGACTGGCACTGTTAGGCGGCACTGATAGACAGCACTAAGGCGCACTGACTGGCATTGATAGGTGGCACTGGCAGCACTGATAAGCGGCACTGACTGGCATTGATAGGTGGCACTGAAAGGCAGCTCAGATGGGCACTGATATGTGGCATTGATGTGCACTGGTAGGTACTGATATGTGGCATTGATGTGGCACTGATGGACACTGACAGGTGGCACTGCTGGGACTACACTGATCATCAGGGCACACTGATCATCAGTGCCCTGATGATCAGTGTAGATGTCCCATCTGAGGGATGCCGATTACCGGCTCTCCTTTCCTCTCCTCTGTCAGCGTGACAGCTCGTGAAGAGAGGACTGCCAATAAACAGCATTTCCTTATTTACATGCGATCAACTGTGATTGGACACAGCTGATCACATGACAGAGTCAACCTCTTCGGTTCTTTCCGTTGATTGGTGATCCACTGTGTCCCAGGGAAACAGTGCACCTCCGATCGTGGGCGCGCATGTACGGTTAGAGTGGGAGGACGTCCTATGATGTCCTCCCAGAACGAGAGAACCGCCTTGCGCCCGTCATTACCTTTTATGGCGGGTGGGAGACGGTTAAATATAATGTGCTACTTCAATAACAACCCCTCAACAGATGACATATATAAGGCTAGCACTTATTTTTACAGCGCTAATCACTTAAATATATTGAAAAAAAATGTGTAAAAAAAAACATAAAATATAATAAAAACAAATAAATAAACAAATGAATATCAGAGCAAAAAAATCTACTAAACATCCTATGGTGCATAAATCAACACCCTGTGATTTGTAAATACAGTGTATTATTATACCTTTTTTTTTTTTTACAAATTTTTTTCAGTTTATTTCGGGGATTAGGGCCATGAAAATAAGTGGTAGCCTTTATATATGTCATCTATACAGCAGGCATGTTAGACTGGTATTTTTGGGTTATCAAACTGCTTTAAGGAAATGTTAATTCAAGGGCAAATATTTTATCTCATTACTTTAAACAAGTGCCAGATCTCCCAACAGTCCCAGATTCTGCCCCACATAGGCCCTGTTGCTCATCATTGTAATCGATTAAGCAGGCCACTTCCACTGAATCTATGCCTATATGGGATGTAATTGGAGTTTGAAAGGAGCATTGCCATTGCAATAATTGTTCCGATGAGCATATAAACATATATATATGTAGCACCCTCCCAGGCTAGACTCCAATTGTTAGCAAGAAGGGCTGAATAGTAACCTGGGTGTACTAGCTAGCAGGTGTCAAAATATGGTCAGAGCTGAGAGGCTCTGCAGACCAGTCCTCTGGAATTTCCTCCTGCTCTAGAACTTTGGAGCAAGTTCTAGAAGCAGTGGGTGGTCTGTACTTTTAGAGGATCCTGGCCAGTCCCCAACAGCAGGCTTTGCAAGGGGCCAGGACAACCTTTAAGACTAATGGAGCCTGCTCGGTAAAGGGACAGTTTGGGTGGAAGAGGAAGCTGTGAGGCTGAGGAGCAGGAGCTTGGGAGTGGGCCCAGGCAGAAGGACCTGGGAAGGCTAAAAGCTTAATATTTCATCATTCCCCTGAGAGAGGACCACCTGTGTGGCTTGGAAGGAGTGGCCCAGCTAGAAGGCCTGGTAGCAACCACCAACCCAACAGCAACACAGGAGAAGGACTAAGTGAGTACACCTGCACCCCCTGGGCCAGATAGGGTAAGGAGCACTCTAGTGGGAAACTGGATTAGCCTGCCACCTGGGACTGTTTCACAATTTATGTAGCAGACACCAGATCTTCTGCTCAGGGATTCCTCCGGGCTGCTGGGTAAAGAAGAGGATTTATTTGGGATCTGGGGTGGTACTGCAGGGGATGCTAACTAGCTCTCCAGAAGAGATTGATTGCTGTAACCACTGTACATAGTTCAGGAAGTTGTCCTCGGTTTCTCAGTTCCACTGCGCATCCTATACACCCCTTACCCTATTCAAGTTGAAATCCCCCTAATAAATATAAAAAACAAGCTCAAGAACTGGTTACTGACTCCTGAGTGCAAGTCAGTGTGGAAATGCGTGTTGCCTGGCTGTGCAGGACTATAAGGGGGACCCAAAACTTGAGCAATTCCTAAGGGGATAGTGCTGCATACATATATATATATATCTATATATATATATATATATATATATATATATATATATATATATATATATATACACCTCGGCCCTTGCTTCTGGCTTTTGCAGGATTCACAGGCGATGTCATACAACTACCCCAATTTATAACTAGCCTTTGCAGTAAGGTGCACATGAAAGGGCAACACAAGTCACAAACAGCATTTTTCCTTCCCACTTACCATTTTGCCTGAAAACAAACCAAACTGACCCTGTATAACAATTTACATTCAAATAGAGGGTTTCGTTGCACACATTTGCAAATATATGTGGAAGCCGCAGTGCCCACGCCAAGGCTCCTCTGTATACTGCGGTCCTAACTATATTTTTGGGAGTCTCCAAGTTGGAGCGCAAATAGCAGTGGATAAATTAACGGCAGGTTTGCCTGGAGGGAGCCCACTCCTCCTTAAAGACACAACGACAAATTGGATGCCTAGCAAGAGCACAATGTCAGCTGAAGGCATCCCATGTGTCCCCGCACCAAATCAGCCAACAGGCTGTAGAGAAAGATGGCAACCACCCCTAATTTATAACCAGCCTTTGCAGTAAGGTGCACATGGAAGGGCAATGCACATCGCAAACAAGCACAAATGTCCATGCACGCTTACCAGCTAGTCTGCAAACAAGCCAAATTGTCCCTGTCTAACAATTTACATTAAAAACAGAGGGTTTAGTTGCACACAATTGCAAATATATGTGACTTACACAGTGGGACTTAGCCCCGCCCCCCAGGAACTGCATTTGATTGATAGCAGCAGGAACCAATGGCTCCTGCTGCTGCTCAAGTGCTCTGTAAGGAGAAGAGGGGAGAAGAGATGCAGCCTTGCACAGCGCTGGACCTACTCTCCCCTCTCTTCTCCTTCACACAGGGAAGGAGGAGGACAGAGGAAAAGAAAACATTGTTTATCTTAATGCAAGAATTGCACTAAGGTAAAAAAACACATTTTTTAACTTTAGTATGACTTTAATGCTAAAATATCAGGATGCCACAGAGGAGTCAGGCAGTTCTTTGGGGCCGTAGCTTATTCACCTAGACCCTTACAGGGTAGGGCTCTCACTCTGCTGCACTGACCCTGAAATAAATAAATAATATATATATAAATAAAATAAAAACATACATAAAACATATACATAAAGATAACATACAAAGAAGGAAGATAAAAAGATAAAGGAAAAAAAAAGAGAGAGAAAAAAAAATTCCCAATATCATTAAAAATTCAAATATGTTGTTAAAATCTGCACTGCGTGGGCCAAGGGTATCGACATGTTCAAACGTAGGCAGGTCAGGGCCAGCCAACGCATATGGTTAATCTGTAGGTCAGGCATCAAACTATAGGTTGTGGGTGCGGCATAGCATGTAAATTTGCATTTCTGTACCTTTAGCCGAAATTAATTACTCTTTAATTATTAATGGCATTCCCATGCATCGGAAAATGCAGAAAGTTTTTGGGTGCATGAAACCGCATGGTGAAACAACAACATGTGGTTTCTGTGCTAGTGTGATTTTTAAAAAGGTGCAGGGACAGTTTCCCTTCATTTTCCTGCAGGTGCAACAGCCTGTTCAAATGAATGGGCTACTGTGCTTCTGCAAACCCAGCATGCAGAAAATGGAAAAGTGTGAAACTAGCCTCCTGGTTAGTATTCAAACTGAGAACCCTGGTGCTGCAAGACGAGTGCTACTGTGCTGTCCACAGTCAATGTAGTGTAAATAAATAAATTGGACGCAGTATAAATCATTTTCAAGATTTTATTACAATTTATTTGTGGACAGCATAATTTAATATGTGGCAAGTTTTATGAACTACTAGTATCAGTGTCGTCGGAGTACGTCAGATTTCGTGTTGATTTTGATATTTGCGCTTTACTGGCATAGAGAACCAATAATGATATTCCGCAATTCCTGCCATTGAGAACCAATAATGATATTGCGCATTCCTGGCATAGAGAACCAATAATGATATTGCGCATTCCTGGCATAGAGAACCAAAAATGATATTCCGCAATTCCTGCCATTGAGAACCAATAATGATATTGCGCATTCCTGGCATAGAGAACCAAAAATGATATTGCGCATTCCTGGCATAGGGAACCAATAATGATAGTGCGCATTCCTGGCACAGAGAACCAAAAATAATATTCCGCAATTCCTGCCATTGAGAACCAATAATGATATTGCGCATTCCTGGCATAGAGAACCAAAAATGATATTGCGCATTCCTGGCATAGAGAACCAATAATGATATTGCGCATTCCTGGCATAGAGAACCAAAAATGATATTCCGCAATTCCTGCCATTGAGAACCAATAATGATATTGCGCATTCCTGGCATAGAGAACCAAAAATGATATTGCGCATTCCTGGCATAGGGAACCAATAATGATAGTGCGCATTCCTGGCATAGGGAACCAATAATGATAGTGCGCATTCCTGGCATAGGGAACCAATAATGATATTGCGCATTCCTGGCATAGAGAACCAATAATGATATTGCAATCATCGTGTTGAAGATTCTTGGCCAGGAGGACTGACGTGCATATTTTCCAAACTGCTATCCTCCGTGTCATCAGAGGGTGCTAGAATGAAGGGAAGGTAACTCATATGAGAATTGGGGTGGACAATTGCGTACATCATCCCAAGAATGCAGCCGCGCGACATGGGCGGACTTGATTAGCGGTAGCTGGATTGTATGATTTAAAACACATATAGGAGCATGGCCTTGAGACCAAGGAGGCTGCTGCTGATTAAACGGAGAGAATCTGAGAATAAGAATGGTCTCCTCTACGTACCATCCAGCGAACCAGCCATGCGATCCATTCTTTGATTGGTAGCTCTATGCTAATATAGGGTGGTATCAACGAGACTACTACTCTCAAAATGGGAAAATCTGAAAAACATATCAGTAAACCAGAAGCATCTGAACTCACAGAAAAGCGACTGCGTAAGAAACTTAGTATGTTCTCCATTCTAAAAAAAAGAAAAGATGAGTATTACACTTATTTTTGTCATTACCACATCTGATGGAATCAGTATTGAAATAGTAGGGGGAGCATAACAGATATCCTCTCTGCTAAACACCAACTGTACTGAATGCATGAGTTACCATTATTTTTACCTAAAGTGAATCTGTGTTAAGTGCATATGGTGGCATTTGTTGTTTACCAATCTATCTAAAAATGGTAATTCCCTGGATGTTTTGCTGATCCAACAGTTTCAGTGACCCAGAACACATACATAGATCAGGATCAGATACCCAATACCCAATCCCATCCAAGGAAAAAAAAAAAAAACAGCATTTTTGCTTGTGCATGATTGGATGATGAAAAGTCAGCAGAGCTGAGTAGAGCAGTCTATTTGCCTTTAGTTAATCAACCCCTATATGTGACAGTTTACAGAAAAGCAAAAAACGTGTGCATGACTGAGGGACATGCAGAATATCGAGGCTAATACTTACCGCCTAATCCATAAAAACCACCACCACCGTTCAACCTACCCCACCTAAATGACCAAACAACTCTCTTTTTTGGTGTAAAACCGGCCATAACAGCCATTTATTTAACATAACTCAAACATAACACTTCTTACAGTACACTCAAATAATAACTGACAGTAATGATCCCAACCGGGTCCAAAGTCTTTGAAGGCACTGTTACTCACATCCAAAAGTCGGCTGTATCTGACACCCAATGAAAAGGCCCCCCCAGCCGCTACTACACCACCTCGGGGACAATACTACAGTTACGTAGTCCCAGATACAGCCAATGAACTCCCACATTACCAACGTGACCTTATAATTGGAAAGGAACACCCATACCTACGATGGGCCCAACCCATAATCCACCAAATGGTCACTCCAACACCGCATTCAAAGACCCAGTGACCCCTACCGGCTGCCATGACAAACCAAACAGACAAACACCTCAGGACACAAAATGCCATTCAGGACAAGAAACAAAATCAATGAACCCACACAAAACAAACAACAGGACAAACACAAAGAACAAACCAGAACCAAAACAGCAAAACAAAAACACAAAACAGCTCCAGGCCCTGACTGTAAAGTGGTTTATTTTACTAAAGGCTTGAAGCCTCTTAAACAAACTCCCCAGCAAAAAATGTAACATTGCCTAGAATTTTATTACTGTGATGGAGTCTTTATCAATGAGTGAAGATTGGAAAATCCACTCTTCAAAATGACGCTGTACCTCCATCAAACGACTGTTTGTGATCCACCTGGTGGAATAACCACTTGCCCTCCAGAGGATTTACCCTCCTCCCTGACCAGGCCATTTTTTGTGTTACAGTGCTGCATTACTTTATTTATTTTCCAATAGTTTTTATTGAAAATTTTTCAGATTACAAATAATGCAAAGGAGAAATGTCATGGTATAACAGAAGATATCAACCAATACATAAGAACACCTGTTTTTACAAAAAAACAGACATATCTCATGAATTTAGAAGCTCAGTGCAAAGTCATCCTGGTAGGTCAAGCTAAAAATACTGCGCATGAAGTCTCCCAGATAAATGAGCCAGTAATTGTAGCCTCATGAGTTACACTGAACGAGCATTAACCTCCCTGGCGGTATTCCCGAGTGTAGCTCGGGGTAACATTTCAGTCCAAAAGCGGTAACCCCGAGCTACACTCGGGAATACCATGCGGCGCTGCTCCGGCATGTGTTCTTCACTTACCTTACCCTGCGCTCCCGCGATGTGTCCCCTGCAGCGTCCCCGGCCATCTCCTCCGGCAGATGCCGGCATCCGGCTTCTGTGTCCTGTCCCTGTGACGTCGGGACGTACAGGTGCCGCAGGCGGCGGGAAATTTAAAAATTTTAAAAAATGTCTTTTTTTTTTTTTTACATTTTACATAGTAAAACATTGCTGTCTCAACCAATTTCACATACATTTTGTCCTGAGTGCTTTGTCCGGCGCCCTGCCTGCATTTTGTCTGTTCTTTCTGCCTGGAAACTGAGAAACGTCCATGGCGTCCAAAAAGTGTCCTTTAGGTCAAAAGCGGTTTTAGACCGGCTAGAGAACAGCGATAGTAAATCAGAACCACTTGCAGAATTGAGTGATAATGATTCGTGGGGAAATTCGTCATCAGACACTGAAAACGATTTTGCGACTTTGCTCAGCGATGTGCGAACTTGGCGCTATATTTCAAATTTCAGTGTTTTTTGGTTTGATTATATTATTGAATTAAATTTTTTATTATTTTTATTTTATTTTTATGATTATTTATTAAATTATAATTTATGATTTTGTGTTTCAAATTTTATCATACCCGGGATGTTTACTAGACTCTTGTTCAGACAGATTTCAGTGAGTTATTCCTAAAAATTACAGGCCTACAATAAAAAAAATACATATTTACATGCAAAAAAATGGTACCGCTTTCAGCACCAAAAATCTGAAATAATCATACCGCTATGGAGGTTAAGGAAACATGACAAATGTAGAACAAATAAAATTAGGCTCAACAAGCCTCAGAACACGGAGGAATGAAAAAGGGACAGTATAAAGTAAAAATAGAAGTAAGGAAGAATAAGAAAAGAGGTCAATTCGGGAAAGATCAAGGCACGGAAATATATTGAATCCACGGGTCCCACGTTTTATCAAATTTGGTAGTATTGTTGTGTAGAATACAGGTGAGTCTGTCGTTAATCACGATCCAATTCAATTTGTTTTTAACATATTCAAGTGGAATAATTGATCTCTGCCAATGTTTAGCTGTAGTAATTCTTGCTGCTAACAGTATATACAGTAGGTTTCTTTGGTACTGTAATTGGAAATTTATGGAAGAGGGCCATCTCCGGGGTCCTGCGGACATTCACCCCCGTCACCGTATAGATAAGGTTAAATATTCAGATCCAAAATCTAGTTGCTATTGGTCATTGCCACCAGACATGGAACATAGACCCCATCTGGCCGCAATGCTGAAAGCACATTGGTGAAGCAGGCAGATGCATCCTCGCAATCTGGGTTGGGACCAGGTACCACCGCAATAATGTTTTATAGTTTGCTTTAACTACCTCCCATCCAGCCATTGTACATAAACGGCTGGATGGTGGCAGTGCAGGGTCGGGTGGCCATTTATAAACTGTCTCTCCGCTCCATGTTTGTGCGCGCTTCCTGGGAGCGCACAGCACCACGATCCGGTGCCCGCTGTGTCCTCCAAACACAGTGGAACACCAATTGTCGGACGGGACCTCTCTGCGAGGTCCCGATCATGTGATCACTGATTGGCTAATCAGTGATCACATGCAGAGTACTAAGCAAGATGTCACTTGTGACATCATTGCTTACTACGTGTGAAATCTGTGAATGATCACAGAGGTCACATGGTAAAAGGCAATTCACAACAGCCTTGTACCATGTGACAAGCTGTGACCAATCACAGTTCACACAGTAGTTCTCAATGGCTGCAAGAATGCAGACAGAGAGAAGGAGAAATGATTGCTTTTACATCCTATATGGGTGTAAAAGCAATCAGTGTATAAAAAACAAATCTTCATCACCCCCACAAGTAGTACAGTGTCACCATGGTGACACTGTACTGCTAGGGTGACAGTACGTAAAAAAAAAAAAAATAAATAATAATATAAAAAAAAAATAAAAATGTTAAAAAAAATGTTTAAAAAATTATAATTTTTGGTTATAAACTAATTTGGGTTATTTTTTTTTTTCTAAAAAGATAACAGAATAATTTTGTCCAAGATTTATGATGAAATATTATTTATTTGCAAAATTTTATAAGAAAAACACTTTTTTTCAAAATATTTGGACCTTTTTATTCACATAGCAAAAAAAAATAAAAATCCCAGTGGTGAATAAATACCACCAAAATAAAGCTTTATCTGTCTAAAAAAATGGTAAAAAAGTCATATGGGTACAGTGTTTTGCATGACCGCGCAATTGTCATTCAAAGTGTGATAGCGCTGAAAGCTGAAAATTGCCCTGGACAGGAAGTGGTTAATGAAGATGGTTTTGATAGAAACCTTGGATAATGCTAAGGCTACATTTCGCCAGTCTGATAAATCCTAACTAATATTCAGGTCCCGTCTCCATTGATCCGCTGCATTACTCTGACAGTTGCGTGGTCATGAAACGCTGCACCCAAATGAAATTTAAGTCCTTTTATTCTCACGAATAGAGCTTTCTTTTTGTGGTATTTGATCGCTTGAGCATTTTTTATTTTTTTGCGCTATTAAAAAAAAAAGACCTGAGAGGGCTTCTGTGGAGCTCAAGTTCACACTTTGTCAACAACCAGTCCTGGTAGCTTCCACATTCTTCTTTAACCACCTACCGCCCGCCATATAGTCCAATGATGGGCGCAAGGTGGTTCTCTCGTTCTGATGACGTCCTTCCATTCTCACCGCGCATGCGCGGCTCAGGGAGCGCGCAGCGCGGCGATCGCTGGTGCGCTGTGTCCCTCGGACACAGCGGACCACGGAAAGAGCCAAAGATGTCGGCTCGGTCATGTGATCAGCTGTGTCCAATCACAGCTGATCACATGTAAACAGGGAAATGCCGGTTATCGGCATTTCTCTCCTCTCGAGCTGTCACGCTGACAGAGAGGAGAGCCGGTAATCGGCATTCCGTGGAGGGGACATGTACACTGATCATCAGGGCACTGATGATCAGTGTGCCCTGATGATCAGTGTGGCCCCAGAAGTGCCCCCTGTCAGTGCTGATCAGTGCCACATCAATGCCACATATCAGTGCCCATCTGAGCTGTCTTTCAGTGCCACCTATCAATGCCAATCAGTGCCACCTATCAGTGCCAGTCAGTGCCGCCTATCAGTGCGCATCAGTGCCGCCTATTAGTGCCAGTCAGTGCCGCCTATCAGTGCCGGTCAGTGTTGCCTATCAGTGCTGCCTATCAGTGCCAGTCAGTGCTGCCTATCAGTGCCGCCTATCAGTGCCATATATCAGTGTCATATACCAGTGCTGCCTTTCAGTGCCCATCAGTGATGCCTGTCAATGCCCATCAGTGCAACCTACCAGTGCCTCCTCATCAGTGCCACCTATCAGTGTCCATCAGTGCAGCCTTGAAGTGCCCATCACTGCAGCTTCATTAGCGCACATCAGTGAAGGAGAAACATCACTTATTTACTAAATTGTATAACAAAAACTAAGAAAAAATGTTTTTTTTTTCAAAATTTTCTGTGGTTTTTGGTTTGTTTAAGAAAAAATAAAAATCCCAGAGGTGATTAAATACCACCAAAATAAAGCTCTATCTGTCTCAAAAAAATGATAAAAATTTCATATGGGTACTGTGTTGCATGACCACGCAATTGTCATTCAAAATGTGACAGCGCTGAAAGCTGGAAAAGTGGCCTGGGCAGGAAGGGGGTATAAGTGCCCGGCAGGTGAGGGGTTAAAGAGCTTGTTGGTCAGACAGACACCTCCAATGTTTATCCATGTTGAGGAGCATCCCATGTTTCTTCTCAGTTGAAAGTAAACTGTGGCTGAGAAAAACTGTGCAATGAGAAAAAAAGTATTGTTTTTTTTTTTCTCAAAATTGTTGGTCTTTTTTTTGTTTGTAGCACAAAAACTAAAAAAAAAGCACAGATGATCAAATACCACCAAAAAGAAAGCTCTACTTTTGGGGGGAAAAGGACGTAAATTTCATTTGGGTGCAGCGTTGCATGACCGCGCATTTGTCAATTAAAGTAACACAGTGCCGTAACACAAAAATGGCTGGGTCAGGAAGAGGGGTAAATCCTCTGGAGGGCAAGTGGTTAAAGTGTACCTAAAAGCAAAAATTCTCATTTTGGATAGAAAGAGAAGATTTAGATCCTCTGCTAAGTTTTTATTGCTCTGTGTTTCTGCTGGAGCGATTGATCCCTCCATTTGTTCATGTCAGCACTGCCCCAGAGACAGAACATGAGGGAAAATCCTAAATTCTCCTCACTTTGGAGAGATTCTGTTGCGTGTCCAAGACGGGCTGTGATGAAAAATCCCCCTAGCAGACAGCAATAGGTAATTAAATTATATTAATTCAAACTGTTACAAAAACCTTCACCTAAATCATCTCCATTATTTACAATTCTGTATCTACAATTTAATTATACAATCTTCCTGTTCCAGCTCTCATTCTATCCTAAAGCTGTAAGATAAGAATGAAAAAGTTCACTTACTTTACTCCACTGCTGAATGCGACCTCGCGCTCATGAGCGCTTTTTATACCAAACCCACCCACCAATCACAGTGAGTAACGTCATATGATCCGATATACGTTGATTGGAGGATTTCTAAGTGTTCTAGAATCTTCTAGTTGTCTCTTGGCATTCATCCAGCAACCACCCTGGAATTCAATGGGAGGGGTTTCTGTAGATTTTTCTTGAAAACAATTTAGTTTTGTTTTAGCTTTGTTTTTTTTTCTTTTTACATTTTCGTGTGAGTATAGACCTCCAGTTAGTTTGTCATCAAAGGAACAAAGGTATACCGCTCAGACAAACAATCCAGATCAATCCACGACAGGTGCAGGCTCTGGCTCGCCACCACACACGATGCAATAGGAAGAAGGGTCAGCCACACACCGGAGGATAGATCAATACAGTGTGTATTTATTGATCCATAGGACACACAAAACACCAGGATATGAATATTGCAGATACTTAATGGCTGCCATAACCTTCTTATTTCTTACCACCCCTTTACTTGTGTCACCCCCCCCAATAATAGACAACACAGTCTTATTCTTGCAATTCAAGGCCATTTTTATTGAGAGAACAATAAATTGCAACTTTATTAAAACTTACATCTTTATTTTTTAAATATGTGAACATAACTGACCACAATGTAATTACACTAACAAACCTCCTTAAAGTCTAAAGGTCTTTTAAGGCAACTTGTATTCAACCGACCGGCTATACCTGCCACCACATAGACTTGAAGGCCCCCAACCGCAAACACACGGCTCGAGGACAATTTAATATCTGGATAATCTCAATACAGCCAAATGACTCTTAATACATTACTCCTTCACTTAACTAGGGAAGGTACACCCATACCGGAGATGGGCCCAACCTGCTCATTCTCCAACAGTTTTACCAGTCACTGCCTTAAAAGACCCTGAGACCCCCGTCTAACTGCTATGACACAACCCATCACGAAAATGAAGAACACCCCATGCTGGGTGTATGCTGGATGTAATCGTCAGCATATATCCGTTTCCTGTATGTATTCAGTGATTAGATTTTTTTTTATTTCTAAAATTGCATTGAAGACAATGGGGGCCCATTTTTGATGATCACTTTTGGTGTTTGGAGGGCTACTACACAAGTAAATGTCACCCAAATGGAATGGGAAACCCCTACAGTCCCCCATTGAGTGCTTTTCTTTACGTAGATTCTTAGACCATAAGTGCTTTTTTTAACCCATTATCTAAAAAAAACACAAAAAGAAATAATATACATTTAAAAAAAAAACAACTAAAACCCCAAAGGGGAATGCAATACTGTTTAAATAATTTTTTTGGCTTTTGCCCTGGTTTTTACATTTTTTTATGATAGTCGGGGGATTAGCTGGGGCACAGGACACCAAAATGTTTGGCACAAAAACAAAGTCTTTATTGTAACCTTAGCAGGTATATCTTCAGCCGCATAAAAAAAAACACACATACTGTAATGCTTCTAAAGGGAAACTCAGTGAAGTGAATACAAAAGTCACTCAGGGAATACAAAAGTCACTGACTTACATCCACAGCACAATGTCCATCCAGAAAGTGCCCAATGTCTAAATACATACAAGCAGCATTCTCACCCAGCCATGCAAGAAATAAACTTTCTCCTGTCTATGTTAGACCCACTCCTCTTATGATTTCATTTTCATCTCCCCCAATCATGTTTTCATGTCCCTGAAATTTTAGCACAAATTGTGGGATTGTGGTGAAATTAAGTTAATGGGGAAGATAAACTTTGTTTTGGGGCATTTTAAGGTTACAGTGTGCTTTTAATGTCTTTTGAGAGTTATGAAAGCTCCTACAAACTATCTTGGACCTGTTGTTTGGTCAAAAAATGGCTTCCATTAGCTTCATTGTTTACATTGTTCACAGAAGGGAAAAGATAGAAAGCAGGAAAAAGTAAAAAAAAAACTAAAGTGATAATATACAAATAATGATCAAATAAACAAAAACATGCAAAAAGAGAAGTAAATGAACGAAAACAAAATAACCTATATAAAACTCCCTTAAAAATACACCCTATAAATTATGGAAAAAAAAAGGAGTTGATACATTTCTTTATAAACTATACGAGGTGGTATCAAAAAGTTTTAAGACTAGTTTTGTAACACACCAACAGATGGCAGCTCAAGGCTGCATGCAACAGTCACAGGGAGCACCGACCATTATAAGGCAGTGTGCCAAAAGACATCATCCTGTGTACATCGGGAGCTGTGCAACTAGTGCTGATCTGACCACGTGCGTTACCACATCTGTTGTTTCATCATGGACAGCAAGTTAGAACAAAGAGCAAATGTGAAATTCCACGTGAAACTGGGCAAATCTGCCACAGAGATGTTTGACATAATTTTGCAAGTTTACGGCAAAGCTGCAATGAGTCATTTGAGGTGTTTCGAGTGGCACACGCACTTCAAAAGTGGAAGAACGTCACTGGAAGAGGACGAGAGATCATGGACCTTCAACTAGCTCAATCCATAAAATGTCGAAACCATTCAGCAACTTCCTAACCCACCTTACTCGCTCCTTCGGACTTCCCCCTTGTCCTGAAGATGAAGATCCAGCTCAAAGGTCGCAGTTTTGACAACATTGCAGAGATCCAGGGCAAATTGCAGAAGGTGTATGCACGCTTTGAAAAGAAGACTTCCAGGACACATTCTGGAAGTGGCAGGAACTCTGGGAGCGCTGTATTGCTGTGTAAGGGGACTATTTTTAAGGTGATAGTGTGTAAACGTAGATAAATAAAACACTTTCTTGTAAACAGTGCTCAAAACATTTTGATACCACCTCGTATTGGGAGAAAAATAAAAGGTTACTCACCTTAAATTCCAACTTTCCAAATCCTTGCCTAAGCATCAATGACATCATTCCACATTCTTGTAGGATCCAGAGAATGCTTAATGCTCCAAAGTTTGTGGGAATGCACTCCAGCAGTGTGCAGGAGTACAATCTTTGAGATTTTGGATCCTCAGTTTTCCAAAGATCCTGAGGTAAGGCTGAGTGACATCACTATTATTATTATTATTATACAGGATTTATATATCGCCAACAGTTTGCTCAGCGCTTTCCAATATAACGGGAGGCAATACAGCAACAATACAGTTCATTACAAGAGGGATAGAAGGGCCCTGCTCCTTGGAGCTTACAATCTAGGATGGAGGGGCTAGTGGTACAAAAGGTAGTAACTGTGGGGGATGGACTGGTAGGAAGAGTAGAAGATTCCATTATTAGCTGAGGGCAGGATAGGCTTCCCTGAAGAGATAGATTTTCAGAGATCGCCTAAAAGTGAGCAGAGTAGGCGATAGTCTGATAAATTGGGGTAGAGAGTTCCAGTGGATGGGGGAAGCTCTGGAGAAGTCCTGGAGATGAGCATGGGAGGAGGAAACAAGGGAGCTAGAGAGCAGGAGGTTGTGCGAGGAGCGGAGAGTACGGTTTGGGTGATATTTGGAGACAAAATCGGTGATGTAATTTGGGGCAGAGTTATAAATGGCTTTACATGTTGTTAATGTTTTGAATTTTATCCGCTCGGCAATGGGAAGCCAGTGGAGGGATTGGCAGAGAGGGGTGGCTGATACAGAACGGTTAGTAAGGTGGATAAGCCTGGCAGCAGCATTCATGATAGACTGAAGAGGGGATAGCCTGCGATGAGGTCGGCCAATGAGGAGGGAGTTACAATAGTCAAGGCGAGATATAACCAGGGAGGGAATAAGTTGCTTAGTGGTTTCCGAGGTTAGGAACGGGCGTATCTTGGAGATGTTGTGGAGGTGAAGTCTACAAGATTTGGACAGCGATTGGATTTGGGGCTGAAAGGACAGATGGGAGTCTAGGATTACACC